CTGGAATGAAGACATTGGAGACTTGGAAGAGTGGGAACAGGTAGAGGGTTTGGGGATGAGAAAGTACATATTGGGCACAATGTACACTATTTGGGTGACAGAAGCACTAAAAGCACAGACTTCACTACTACACAATATATCCATGTAATAAAACTTCACTGGTACCTCTTAAATTTATACAAATTTTAAAAAGAAAGAAAAGAAAAAGCATCTGCTTCAGAGGCTACCTCTGAGGCTTTCGTTTTGGGATATTGTTTTCTGAGCCCCAACACACCCAGTTCAATTTAATGAAGTCACGATCTCCTTTGTGAAAAAGAAAAAAGAAAAGAGATGTCATGACTTGGCAAATATGTATCATGGCTTCTTCCCATGAGTCTCGGGGGTAGAGAGGCACGTGCCCCTGCAAAAACACCAGGTTCGGGACAAGCAGCCCTCAGCAAGTGGAACCACGATATTGTCACAGGCCTGCATTTCCACCTGCCACACTGGCCCACTGTAACACTGTGTAGACCATTTACTGTCTCACTACTGGTTCTGGTTCTCTCTTTTTCGTCGATTTTTTTTCTTTTATTGGTGCATAATACTTTACATATGCGGGACATGTGCATGTGTTACATGCATAGACTGTGTAATCAGATCAGTGTATTTGGAGTATCCATCACCTTGAGTGTTTATCATCAGTTAATGTCTTGGGAACATTTCAAGTCCAGGGCAAAGTAATTATCAAAGGAAGGAAGGAAATGCAGCTGGTTTAAGCCATGAGTAAAGTATTTGTGGGAGAAAAAGAAGTGTGAAGGTTGTTTTAGGTCCTATTTTTTATTTCCTCTCTGCTTACTCAAGTAATTTAGGAACTCTGGCCATTTAGGTTTACCATGTCATGAAACGTTTTGCAAGGAGTGAGGGAATGTTGACAGAAAAAGGTTTATATTAGCACTTGATGCTTACCTAAGGTTTGTGTTTTATTGAATGCATAATAAATTATTATTTCACAGAATTAGAACTACAGGAGAATTTTTTAAAATGATTTTGGCAAATGCGTTTTTTATTCATAGCTATTTATTTAGCAACTCCAACTAGCTAATTCTGCTAATGCATTGCACTTTTCTGTGGGAAGCTTGTAGCTACTATGATAGTGTCAATTTTATCTCAAGAATCGCTTTTTTTCCTGAGTCTTCATGCTGGAAATGAATGTTGTGATTGTACGATACAGACTATTTCCATTAAAGAGTACTCAGTAAACGGTGCTTCTGCTGGACTTGATTTCAACTAGAAAATAAATAAGATACAACCATATAGGGCCAGTCACTAAGCACTGACAACACATAAATAAGGAAATTTTAGCAAATCGTTCACTTGACAATTCAGACAAAGTATTATAATACTTATACAATATGAGTAAGTCAAGTTAGGAGATTCCTCATATATTCTCTATGTGAATGTTAAGCTTTCAAGACGGGAAAATCAACTAGATCATGGCTAATCATGCCTCAAGATACTCATTAGTCTGTGTTCACTTCAGCTAGAGTGGATATTGATCAAAGAAGATTCTTGGTGTTTCCATATGATCACATTGTCCCTCCTGCTGATACCAATCAGGCTTTCTAAAACATGCAATATTTGCACTTTGCAGCACATCACCTTCAGATTTTGATCACTGAACTACATTTTCTTTCTCTCTGTCAATCTGCTCAGATTTAATTTTTCTTACCTTTTAAAAGCTACTAATGGATGAATATTGATCTATTGAAGTTGAATTACCATCATGAAGACTTTTGGCTTATTCTTGAAGAAGACACATGAGCGAAATATTTCTGGAATCAAATGAAAGCTTCTGGCATTGGCAGGGGCAACCAGAATTCTAATTACTTGTTTCTGACAGAGGTATCTTTGAAATACTACATAAATGACCATTTGGAAGCTGTTATTCATTGGCGGGTCATCAAACAAAAATCATTCTCATTAATTTGGGTTTTGTTAAATTCATCTCCTCCCAATAGTTAGAGGTCTCTAAGCAGGTAATAGAACTAGCATAGCAAAAAATGTCACTCTCCTTACCCCATATGCACAATCAGTAACTCTCAGAAGCTTCTCAATTGTTGTCAGTAGTTGAGAATTTCAAAGTATAATATGAAATAAAAGGAATACTAGTGTTTTAAGCACCAACTAATATAACAGACACTGTGTAAACTTTAGCATGAAGACTCAAGGACCTCCATCCTAGGGATCTTATGGAAAGGCCATATTATTTATTTGTTTATAAGAACTTAATTGTTTACCAAAGTACATGGGAAAGGAATGAATCCTATTTAGACACAGATAGAAGAGGAGCCATCTTTTTATTTTCTTTAAAAGCTAAAAAGAAAAGAAAAAACGTGATTTATATGCTTCATGAAATGTTACTATGTAGCACGATTCGGGCATTTTCTCTGACTTTTTGTGAAGTTTACTTTTTGAAGAATGTATATGCATCTTTCAGTTATACCAAAAACAAAAAAAATCATTGGGTTAGAGTTCTTAAACAGTCTTAATTTCAACAGAGTTCTTAAACGGTTCCAATCTGATACCCCTAAGATATTTTTAGCCAGTGACCCAGAGCTACTCTTAGTCCCAAAAGTGTTTGCTTCTATCCTTTCCCCACCCATTCTGCAACAGAATTTCATCGTGAATAATTAGAAGTAGATAAAAATATATGAGTAGAAAAAAGGAGAGATACTTATAGGTTATAAGTAAGTGTTTGACAGCCTCTGCAAATTCTCAGATGAATAAGTGTCTTCCTTTTCTGAACACTTTCACTAAAAGGCAACTCACTATCATCTGGGCCACCACACTCCCTGCTCTAATTTTAGAGGAGGTCATCGTTGGGTCTAATTATTTCATTATAAATTTAACTTTCTTTAAATGGAGAATGGAGAAGAATTGCTAGAAGCTTCATTCCAGGATTTTAGTGTGATTTCAGTACATTTAGATCTATAGGGATTAGATTATTAAATGCAGCATATAACTTGTATGATCTAAAGTTGCCATATTAAAGTTAGACAAAAATTGTATCTAATTATGTATTGAGCATTTTCAATGTGAAAACGACTGTCTAGCAATATTCCTATGTCATTTTAATCCTCAAAGCAATGTAGTAATATAAGCACTATTATCCCTATTTTATAAATAAGGAAACTTAAACAGAGAATAGCTGGCAAAGGAACCCAAGGTCACACAGATTTCTCATAGCAAAACTGAGGTTTGAACCAAGACAGAATGTTCTAGAGCACATATTGTTAACCACTATGACATTACTTTTCCAAATTGGATACTGTGATACTTTTAAAATAACTTATGGACAGATGCAGTGGCTCACACCTGTAATCCCAGCACTTTGGGAGACGAAAGTAGTAGAATTTCTTGAGCCCAGGAGTTCAAGATCAGCCTGGGCAACCTAGCAAGACCCGGTTTCTACCAAAAAAGTTTTAACAAATTAACTGGGCAAGAGGGTACATGCCTGTAATCCCAGCACTTTGGGAGGCCAAAGCTGGAGGATCACTTGAGCCTAGGAGTTGAAGACCAGCCTGAGCAACATAGCCAGACCCTGTTTTTACAAAAAATAAGAAAAAATTTAAGTGGATATGGTGGCACATGCCTGTAGTCCCAGCTACTTGGGAGACTAAGGTGGGAAGATCGCTTGAGCCCAGGAGGTCCAGGATGCATTGAGCTGTGATTGCACCACGGGTTGGGCAACAGAGGGAAACCCTGCCTCAAAAATAAAAATAACAATAGTTTACAGCCTTAACAATTACTTATAGATGTGATATTACTCCAAAAATGCATTCTTATCACTATAGGCATTTCAAGAGTGGAATAAAATTCTGACAACTTTATTTTTCCACTTACACTGACTAAACCCAAGTGAGCACATTAGCATAAGGCTTAAAAGGAAATTTTAAGTATATGTACATATTTTGTTCTGGTTAGATGTTAAAATGTGTTTGCTTATATTTATCTGATTTTAAATGATTAGAGTTCTTGTCAAAGTCTCCATCTATCTTCTTCCTCAGGGACATTGATGGATTTGCCAATGATTTATAAACTACATTGTGCAATATAAATGCTAATTAACCTTCCTTAGATATGATACTGTATATTTAATACGTTGCAATCCTTATTTTTAAAGTGATTTAAGTTCCTTTTTTCTTCCAGCTTTATGGAGATATAGTTGACAAATAAAAATCATATATATTTAAGATATACAGGGTGATGATTTGTTATATTTATACATGCTGAAATGTTCTGCACAATCAAGCTAATTAACACATTCATCATCTCACATTTGTGTGTGTGTGTGTGTGTGTGTCTGTGTGTGGTGAGAACACCAAAAAATCTATTATTTAATTTCAAACACAATGCAATATTATTAACTATGATCACCAGGAAATATAAGAATGATTTTACTTCTGTTTTACTTTTTTTTTTTTTTAATTACACTTTAAGTTCTGGGGTACGTGTGCAGAACATGCAGGTTTGTTACATAGGTGTACACATGCTGAGGAAGTTTATTCTAAACTTTTAAAGCAATCACATTGTTATTCTCTACTAACTTTATTTAGATTGTGAAACATTTCTAATTACCCATTTCTAAACACTTCAGCTTTAGTATAGAAGAAATGGTATTATCTTACCTTCTTGATTTCATGAGTGAAAATCTTTGAAAATATGTAAATCTATTCAAAAAATCTGTTGTATAGGCCGAGTGACAATGAGTTGGCGCCTTAAGAGGTAAGTGAGATATCTGAGACCTGATCAACACTTTCAACGTTATTAATAGAAAGACTTCTGATTACTTGGCATGTGATTTTTACATATTTTATAATCAGTCTTCTCACAGGGTGAGGCTTAATTTTAAAACCACATCAGCCCACATGTATATAATTCTATGTCTATTATTAAAATACTGTTGTTTTGTATGTGGGGAAATGTTAAAAGTTAATTTTTTTCCATTTTTGTTTTTCTAGATGTTCGGAGAAGAACAATTTATGAATACCACCGAGTGGAGCTACAAATGTCAAAAATTACCAACATTTCGGCTGTGGAGATGACCCCATTACCTAGTAAGTGAATATGTAAACCTAGGTGGAAAATATGATTTGCAAATTTGATGATCTGATCTGTTTAATAGTTATAATAATCATATTAAATAACTACCATTACAATTGTGTTTGGCAAGCATGGGCATTTTGATCCTGAGTATTGGGGGACAGTGATGTTTATTTTGGCTGAGCAATCTCTTTTCCCCCAAGTTGCCTGTTGGTCTTGATGAATTTGTGCTTTCCTATTTCCTAGCATGCCTCCAGTTTAACAGATGTGGCCCCTGTGTGTCTTCTCAGATTGGCTTCAACTGCAGTTGGTGTAGTAAACTTCAAAGGTAAAAATATAATAATAATAAAAATAATAAAACTTAAAAAAACTTCCTGCTTCTACTCTCCCACTGAATTTGAAGTGGATATCAACTGTATGGCATATGTATGCATTAGCAATATTGTGTGTATGAAAATTACCAAGAGCCTTTATAGTCAATAAGGCCAATATCTGGCCTATATTTATAATTTTCCGTGGGACTTAAAATACATGATGATTATAGAGCAGTTGGTGAGTCTGTAAACTAAAGTTTTGATTCATATTCTACAGAAAGCATGGTGTGAGATATCTTTTCATAGCAAGGGTGGTTTATAATAATCACATGAACATTCTTAATAAATTCCTATGCAACATCTCAAAGGTTATTAGTCAGGATTGGAGATACAGTCTAATACAAAAATAGAACACATGGTTTTGACCTCATGTTGTAACTAGCAACCCTGAAACTTAAGCTGCATAATTTACTGGGGTCACAGAGGTTTACTGATTTTTAGAAGTGGCAAAGATGATTTTTCAGTTCCTAGAGTTTTTCAGAGACTGAATAATCATTTGTTGGAAATACAGGATAAAGACTAGCAAATTTGTTTTGTATTTTCTCAACCATTTTGTGCATCAGTTATGGTCTGGGTACTGGGAACACAGCAGTAAACAATATTGACATGGTCCCTGGCCCCCATGAAGTTTACAGTCTGCCTAGGAATAAGTCCTCTTTTCACCTTCACAGCCTATGACAAATGTCTCTTTCCCCAGGAGGAAAACCAAATAATCATGCTGTTAGTTTGCATATGTTACACCTGAGTTTTCAGTTGTATGAGCAGTCTGTCTTATTATCTTCTTGCTGTAGCATTTGCTATAATGATAAAGACATGCTCTAGGAATACTTTTAAACTTATTGAAGAATTTGAAAGTAAAATGCCAATATTTCTATCACAAGCTTTGGGAAACATTTTTAATTTACTAACCTTGGAGCAACTACTGCAGTATTATGGCTAGAACAATATTTATGATAACATCTGTATTGTTTTCAATTTAATGGGGCGTTCTAGTAATTTCCTTTGTGAAGTGAATTCCAAATAATAAAAAAGCAAGCAGGCAGTTTGCATTTTTAAAAGGAGATTTTTAAGTTAGTTATATATCCAAAGTAGGAGAAACTGCTATAAAAGCAAGGGTTTATGGTTATTTATACTGATATTTTACTAAGTTTTTCATAACGATTATGTGCATATCAGAAGTTATTCAAAATCTGTTTAGATAATGACCTAAGGGAATCTAAAGAGATGGCGTTTTACTATGTATATGTAAGGGATTCTGAGCTGAGAAATGGAAAATGTCCAAAGGAACTAAATCGGAGGCACCAGTTTGGGCTGCATACCTACTTTAAGATGCATTTCAGCAAGATCCATTTCAGTGATCTCCTTGTCCAAGTCTGCGTGAGGTGCCTATGGGCTGTGTTTCTCTGCATCCTGGGCAAACTGCCATCATTCGCATTTCAGTAGGCCTTGCCGATGCTTGTTCATTTGTCTGTCTTCTTTGCTAGGCTCTAAGTTTATTAAAGGCAGAGACCATATCCAATTTGTCCTTATATCTCCAGAGCCTAAGAACATACCTGGGACTGCAGGAGAAAAAAAAAAAAAGGATGAACAAATGAATATTGATTAGGTCCCAAATGAAGGAATCACACTTAAATTTGTCTGGCACAAAGGGTTTCCCAAGATGAGGGACTTGCAGTGCTAAAACTAGGAAAGTCCAGAAAAAACAAAAACAAAAACAAAAAAAAACAAGGACCATTTGGCCACCTTAACTAGGAGACAATTAGGATAATTTTTGACTTAAATTGTGTTATGGTAAATGAAGGCTTTGAAGATTCATCTAGAAATTTGCTTAGCACTGACCATTTCACTTTTTAATATAAATTTTTGATGAAATGTATGTTTAAAGTTCCAAAAAAGCAATTTTGACAATCAAAACATATCTGCAAGTTGGAATCTCCTTCTGCTGTTAATACTTTCAATTTATTGAGAGGTGTCTCTGCCAGACATTAAGCCAAGAAATTTTCAAATACCACACTTAACATTTTCACAGTGAAGAAAACTGACATTTTAGGAGCTAAGCTACTTGTGCAGGGTCTAATAGCTCTTCAAGCAGTAAGTGTGGAATCAAACCTCCATCTCTGTGATGCTCAGCTTTTGGTCTTGTTTTTTCGACACCTGTTCTGCGTAACACTTGCCAGGCTGCAGGTGCATTAAGCAAGATAATTTTCATTGCTTTCTGAAAAATTGTAGACATATTACTGAAAAATAAATCTTTCCTAGTTGATGCCGCAAGAAAGTATCATGGTTTTGAAACTGGCATTAGAAGAATGAGAGGAAAATTGAATAAATTCTAAGACTTTTGCATATTTTTTAAAGCATAGTTTAAGATTCCTGGGGAAAAGAGAGTTGGTGAGGCATATGAATGAGAAAGAAATTCATCTAAGAACATTGCTAAAAAAACCATGAGTTTTCTGAATGTTACCATTTGGTGTTTTATTGAATACCAAACATTTATTTAAAACCTTGGCTTGATTTTGAATTCTTCAGCAACCCAGTTATATACCCATCAAAACCTATTTAATTAATCAGTTTAACTATGCCTCATTGCACTTTTGTTCAACTTAATTTCCCCACTGCATTTTATTAATTTCTCCTTAGACCTGTAAGCTTCAGAACTCTTTGCTTTGCTACCCAGAAGCATTTCCCCAGACTTTAGAGCTTTGATGAACAAATTCAACAAAACAAGAGAAGTCTTATCCTAAGCAGCACAAAAATTGCCCTCTGATTCTTTTTCTCCCATTGTTCTTACTTTCCTCTGTGTGCTTAACTTATCCCTGAATGACAATCACTTGCTGGTAATTACTGAACTCTCAAGCTGGGCTTGCTCTAAAAAGATCATTTTAATTGGTTTATTTCATTTAATTCCCATTTTTCAAGGAGCAAAAACTAAGGCAAAATATTTGCAATGGCTTCCCCAAGCTGTAAGAGAATTTGAGTTAAAGGAATGTAAAGAGATCCATAATTGCAAGTGCTTACTTAAATTACTTGGTCCATTTCTTTGAACTAGGAGTGCTTTTGTTTCCTCATTGCAAACGAAGGATAACTAATCAGTCACTTTCAACTGCACCTTATAGCTTCACTCATTCAACACAAATGTATGAGTGTCGCTGATCAAGTCACTCACCAAGGTTGCGCATTGAGTATTGAAAAAAGACAGACAAAATCACTTCCTTAGGAGAGCTTCCATTTTGGTATGCGGAGTCAGAGTTTAAGCAAATAGATATGTAGAAAATAGAGTTCAGAGTGATGAGTGTTACAGGAAGAGAAATAAACAGGGCAATATAAGGGAAAATACAACAAAATTGGTAACAACAGATGTTTACTTCTTGGTATCGTTTTTAAGTAAACTTGCTCTTGTAAAGACAGCAAGCTTTTTTTTTAGCTTTTTTTTTTTTTGAGTCAGAGTCTTGCTCTGTCACCCAGGCTGGAGTGCAATGGCGTGATCTTGGCTCACTGCAACCTTTGCTTCCCAAGTTCAAGTGATTCTCCTGCCTCAGCCTCCCGAGTAGCTGGGAATACAGGTGTATGGCCCCACACCTGGCTAATTTTTTGTATTTTTAGTAAAGGCAGGGTTTCACCGTGTTAGCCAGAATAGTCTTGATCTCCTGACCTCATGATCTGCCCGCCTCAGCCACCCAAAGTGCTAAGATTACAGGCATGAGCCACCGCGGCCAGGCTGCTTTGATTAGTTTTTAAATGAAAATGTATTTTTGCACTTAAAGTATTCATTCACTCACTTATTTACTTAACAATGTATTGAATGCCTAACACATGTCAGACATTGATCTAAACACTAAGATAGAGAAATAATCAAGTATTAATCAAAGCCGTAACTTTCATGGAGCTTGGAGTTTAGCTTAGTAGGCCAGAAAATTAATGAATTAATAATTAGGCAAAAGAAGTCAGATAGTAATGGGTTATCTGCTGGATTTGAAAGACCCAGTAGTCATTCTTGACTGGGTGGCCAGGAAAGGCTTTTTGGAAGGGGTAATAATTAAATATCTGAATGATAGATAGGCAGCTACATCTAGATGAAAGCAAAGAGCATTGAAATGCCATTTGAATGACCCATGCAGTGGCCCTCTGATGGGTCTCTGCTTGACCAGATGAGGAAAAGAGATAATGTATTGGGGGAATTCCAAACTGGTTTTGGAGTGAGAGTGACATCAGATAGGCTCAGAAGGGTGCCCAAGTACTGGGACACAGATGGTTCTGTAAGCTAGGGAGAATTTTATTCTCAGAATATTGGAAAGCACTTAGATTTTATAACTTATGCAAAGGAGGGATGTGATTTTACCATATTTTAAAAATAGAACTTTGCGGCCAGGCCCAGTGGCTCACACCTGTAATCCCAGCACTTTGGGAGGTCGAGGCAGGAGGATCACGAGGTCAAGAGATGGAGACCATCCTGGGCTAACACGATGAAACGCCATCTCTATTAAAAATACAAAAATCAGCTGGGCTTGGTGGCACATGCCTGAATTCCAGCTACTCAAGAGGCTGAGGCAGAAGAATCGCTTGAACCCGGGAGGCGGAAGTTGCCAGTGAGCTGAGATTGTGCCACTGCACTCCCGCCTGGAGAGAGAGTGAGACTCCGTCTGAAAAAAAATAAATAAATAAAAAGAGGAACATTGGCTGCTTCATGGAGAACAGAGTTTTTGTTTGTTTGTTTGGGGAGTGGTTCAGAATGAAAAGGAAGAGGCTAGTAGTGAGCACGTGCAATAGTCCACGGGAGCTACCATAGTAACTTGAACAAGGATGATGATGCTGAGGATCAGGAGAGATGAATCAATGCAAGGCATTTTGGAAGGAAAAGGATTATTTTTGGGTGTCTGTGTGTGTGTGTGTACGCATGCGTGTGTCTGTGTTTAATCAAGTTTATTGAAGTATAATTTACATACAATAAAATACACAC